TCCAACTTTTTGAACCTTGCTTCATTATCCCACACGCTTAATTGCCATTCCCACACATATTTCTGAAGTTTCTATTTGTACATATTGGAAAAGTCAAGCAGTTCTTTTGGAGTGCAGTGTACCTACTCCTAGGTCACACTTTACACTTCACCATTTGGGGCTTACTAGGACTTAAGTCTATTTATAGGTTTGGATGCAAAAATGGGTGATGAGGATGTGTTCTGAAAACATTAGGCAATGTCTTGTAAGGCATTTGCCTCAGGTGATGCCCAGGTAATGACTCAGACACTTCCCCAGGAGATGACTCAAACAAAGGCTCTTCATACACAGCTGGATTAATCTCATCAATTAAAGGTGGAAGGGCTAATGGTTTTACTGAAGAGGGTGGCTTGGCAGACAACAATGGAGTAATCTCTTCAGATGGGAGTGAGAGGGCTGCTTCTATTGGCAGAAGATTCAATGGAATTTAGGGGCTCAATGTTCCCACCTTCCTGATTATCTGCCCATATGCCCCCATCCCAAGTTTCAGGATCCCATTTCTTTCCAATCAATGCCCTCACTTTAACTTCAGACACCATACGAGGCTGGGAATTCAGTTGGCATTGTAATTCAGTCACTCTTATGATAAGACTCTGGGTTTGTTTTTCAGCAATATGAGTTCTGTTACTACAAGAAATAAAGCTTTCTTTCAGGGCACAGCTGGCAATTTTGATGTCATTTATGTGACACTTGAGCTGTGACTCTGAAGCCTTGAGTTTATCTCTTTCTTTTACCACTTTGTCTAGCAAAAGTAGGATCAATCAACCAGCTTCCTTATACTTCTCATTCTGACAAAATTGTAGAAAAGTATCAAACATGCAGTCACCCAGAGCCTTACCTCTTACCAATATTTATCTATTGGTGGTGATACTTTGCATATTTCTATTGTCACCTCAGAGCCCCCGTGGCACAGTGGTTAAGAGCTCAGCTGCTAACCAAACAGTCAACAGTTTGAATCCACCAATTGCTCCTTGGAAACCCTACGGGGCAGTTCCACTCTGTCCTATAGGGTTGCTATTAGTCGGAATTGACTCGATGGCAAGGGATCAGTTTTTTTTTGTTTGTTTATTGCCACCTCACACTGTGGATTAGCAGCACCCTGTTTACTACTGGAAGTAGAGTCATCAACATCTTTAAGACTAACCCGACTTGAGAACCAATTTAGAAAACTCATCCTTACAATTTTGTTTTTCTAGAACCACTCTCAATACCAAATGTCTTAGGCTGGGTTCTCTAGAGAAGCAAAACCAGTGAAGAATATATATATATATACATATAGAGAGAGATTTATCTCAAGGAAATGGCTCACACAGTTGCAGAGGCTGGAAAGTCCTAAGTCTATGGGTCAGATGTCAGGTTGGAGACTTCTCCTGACTCATGTAGCTATAGGAGCTGACAAACCCAAGATCGACAGGTCAGACAGCAGACATCTGGCTCACAGGCTGCAGACACTGACAAATCCCAAGACTGGCTGGTAAGATGGCAGTCCACTGGCTCACAGGCTGCAGAGGCTGACGAATCCCAAGATCAGCAGGTAAGCTTCTAGCTCAAGTCCCAAGAACCAGAGGTCAGATGATGAAGAGCCAGATTAAGAATCCAGGGCAAAAGCCTTGCTGGAACATCCATTTATACACTGGAGGCAGGCCATAACCCCAACAAAACTCTCTTTCAACCGATTGGCTGCTCATAGCAGATCTCATCATGGAGATGACTACATCATTACATAACTGCCAAACTACCTTATAACTTCCAAACCACTGAGAATCTTCACCCAGCCAAGCTGCCACACAACCTTAACCATCACAGCCAATTTTCAAAAAAAAACTGAAAAAGTTAAGGCTATCCACTCAGAAGCACCAAAACTCTTCCCTTGTCATCATTTTGATTGAAGGTAAAACTAAGAGGAGTTAAATGCAGCCCTTTCTTCTTAAACCAAGCATCCTGAACATAATGTGATCTTTTCTTAAATAGAATATAGGGATATGTTTACTGGTAACCCCCAATCACTTTGAATTTTGAGAATTAATATCCACATTTCATTTTTTCCTTCCTTATTTCTTACAAGAGACTGACGTTTATTCATTCAGCCAACATTTACTGAAAATCCCCTATGATCTGACATGGTGATGGGTGTTAGAGACCAGGGAAATCAACATGGTCTTTATCTTCATGAAGCTTGCAGTCTAGTCTCAGCTTAGACATAGAATCACAAAATATAGGGACTGGAAGGAATATTTGCGATCAGGTAGTGGTGCACCACCTGGATTTGACACATGAAGAAATCAAAACTAGAGAGGATGATGTATTTGCTGTCACTGAATGACTGGAACTGAGACTCAGTTCACGTTCAGTTCCCATCCAGTGTCCTAACACTGTATTTGCCTTGATCTTACCAGCAGGATATGTTCTTCTAGCAGATGTTGTTGTTGTTGTTAGTTGCCATGAAGTCAGCTCCAACTCATGGTGACCTTATGTATAAACCTTCGTGAGATTAACTGACATGGTGGCTGCAAGAATGGGCTCAAATGTACCAAATTCTAGCACATACCATTCCCTGATATGCTGCTCCTAATCTTTAATGAGCTGGAAAATAAGCCAGACAAGCTCATTTAAATTGTGCCTAAAATAAAAGTAAATAGATTGAGTCTGCATCAGGATTGTATCCTTTCACCATACTTATTCAACCTGTATGCTAAGCAAATAATCCGAGACGCTGGATTATGAAGAAGAGTGTGGCATCAGGATCGGAGGAAGACTCATTAACAATCTGCAATATGCAGATGACAACCTTGCTTGCTAAAAAGAGCACTTACTGATGAAGATTAAAGACTACAGCCTTCAGTATGGATTGCACCGCAAAATAAAGAAAGCAAAAATCCTCACAACTGGACCAGTAAACAACATCACGATAAATGGAGAAAAGATTGAAGTTGTCAAGGATTTCATTTTGCTTGGATCCACAATTAATCCTCATGGAAGCAGCAGTCAAGAAATCAAATGACCTGCTGCACTGGGCAAGCAAAGGACCTCTTTAAAGTTTTAAAAAGCTAAGATGTCACTTTGAGGACAAGGTGTGCCTGACCCAAGCCATGATATTTTCAATTGCCTCATACACATGTGAAAGCTGGACAATGAAAAAAGGAAGACGGAAGAATTGATGCCTTTGAATTATGTTGTAGGCAAAGAATATTGAATGTACCGTGAGCTGACAGAAGAATGAACAATCTGTCTTGAAAGAAGTACAGCCAAGAATTCTTCTTGGAAGCAAGGATGGTGAGACTTCATCTCATGAACTTTGGACATGTTATCAGGAGGGACCAGTCCCTGGAGAAGGACATCATGATTGGCAGAAGGTCAGCAAGAAAGAGGAAGACCCTCAATGAGATGGATTGACACAGTGGCTGAAACAATGGGCTCAAGCATAACAACGACTGTGAGGATGGCACAGGACCAGGCAGTGTTTCATTCTGTTGTGCATGGGGTCGCTATGAATTAGAGGCATTCGACAGCATCTAACAATAACAACAACAGATTGTGAGTGAGAAGCTGGCAGACTCTCTTATGTATAAGCAGGTCCAAGTCACAGTGCAGAGACTAACTTCAAAACTTCTGTTTTGGCAAACCATCTCCACTTCCCAGCACCTTTTTGCTTACTCTTGGTTCTCAACTCTCTTCCAAAGAATTGAGGTTGCCAGAGAAATAAGCACTTCTCTACTTAACGTTTCAAATCTTCTGTGGATAGACTGTCCACTGATCAGTCTCTTTAGCCTCGGCTGTTCAGGAGAACTCAGTGAACACAGGCTGTGATTTAATGAAAAAAGACTTTTTAAAAGTGCATGTTTAGTTGTTTTTGTAAATAGATCTTGGGGCAATTTTTTTAGGGGGTAGCAAAGTGTCTCAAAGTTAATGAAAAACACAATTTGATACACAAAATTGCACTTATCACAAAAATTTTCATAAGTGATCTAATATATATTTGTCATAAAGACTACAATAATCTGGATTTTTCATCTCTTATCTGGATAGCCTTTGTTGTCCTAAATTTAATCTGAACTATGGTTAGTACGTATATTTTAGCGATTAGACTGAACCCTTGAACTTTATTAAGGAAATTTTAACATAGGCAGTTTGAGGAGATAAATTATAGTGCATTTGATATCCCAAGTAAGACCTCACTAATTAGCATTTTATTAACTCAGAAAAATCAACAAACATTTTCTGATTGTGATTCTTCAGGAAGGAGTATAAGCTTTACCTTTCTCTAGTTTAGCTTTGAGTCAGACTCGAGTTGGTGGCAATGGGTTTGGGCTGTTTTGTTTTGTTTAGCTTATCTCTGGTGTCCTAGGTGGTGCAAACTAACTAACTACTGACTACTAACCCAGTGATTAGCTGTTTGAACCCACCCAGAGGAACCTTAGAAAAAAGGCCTGTTGATCTGCTTCTGGAACACAGCCTTGAAAACCCTGTAGAGCACAGTTCTGCTCTGTAACACATGGGGTCACCATGAGCCAGAATCGACTTGAAGACAACTGGTGGTTACTAATAGCTTATCTCTTCTTAAAATATGTTATAAATTAACAGTGTTAACCACATTATTGAGGATTAGTATTCAAAATATGTGAGAACAAACTGTTTTTTAAGTACTCAAGAGCATTTTAAAAGCTTTTATTTACATAAAACAATTGACATCCTGATTTAAAATCTTTTGTATCTATTAATTTTAAAGGTACCAAAGGAAATATATCAGGTGGTAATCACTTAGTCTTATCTGAGTTACCATGTTATCAAAAGTACTAAATCAATACGCTTTTTAAAATATTTTATAATTGAGGCTTTTTACTAATATATACTTCCTTAATTACTCTAAATTAGTATGGATTTACTAAATTTGCAAATGTAAATACATCAGTACATGTCCTATTTTAATGAGATAAATTCTTTAAACAATATTAAATACTCACAGCAACAAATTGGTTATTTTCTAATTTAATGATGTCTCCCACTTTCACATTCATCCATTTTTCACTCTGTAGCCTAAGAACGAAAACAAAATTAATTTTTTGCAGAACAAAGAACAATCAAAGGAATATATTAACAATTCAGCATCAGATAACAGAATAAGCAGATAACAGTATCCTAGAATGTTAAATTTAAAAGGGCCTTTTATAACGAAGTCCTCTACCTGAGTGATGTGGAAATTAAGGCCCAGAGAGGTTAAGTGATTTGCCCTAGGACACCCAGTGAGTTAGTGGTAAACTCAAGATGCCTAACTCTTGCCTGAGTGCTCATCCTACCACCCTAGGGTGCTTTCTTTATATAACTGCTATTAACTCTTGCTTGCAGTAACTTGCAGGACATTAAAAAAAAGAGAGACAATAAATTCCAGTCACTGGCATTCTTTTCAAACTCTATATCAATAAGCATAGAAATATCACTGTCATTGTCTCAGGAGTCTGTTAGACGGGAGGCAACAAGCAAAGTAGAAGAAAGTGGCAAAGGAGAACAGTCCAGGGCAATCACTAAAACACAAGTGAGAGAAAAAAAATACAAATTTAGGAAAGGGAACAACAACAATGGGTGATAAAAAGAAGCCTTGGAAGGCTGAATGAGAAAGACCACCAACAAAACCATTCACAGCACTTGGGCTATGCAAGAAGTTTTGTGGCATTCTAATTGGCTGGGACCAACTGCTTAGAATGGAGAGCATCATAGCCAGGATGTTGCATTGCTTTCTTTGAAGCTCATGTATATAATGAAGCCTGAAACCACTCTTAACCAAGTTCACAGGGGTTTATGATGAAAAGCTATTATGTTCAGTTGGTCGGGCCCCTGGTGATAAGTTAGTCAGGGCTGCTCAAAGCCAGAAAGGCCCTCTGAAAAAAGACCCCCTGGGGCAATGCATCTTCTGAAATCCTCTAAAACATAAACCAACATTGTTTTCCTGGTTGGAAGCCTTCATCACACTTCTTTTTTAGCCATTCCCTTTTAGGAGTTCAGGATGGGTTGTACAGGGCAGGTTTCCCCAACAAGTTGAGATGGGCAGGTTAATTTCATTGTGCAGTTTTAAAAAAAAATAACCTAAGTTACTTTTTTATAGGCTGGAAAATAGTTTTAAATATTTATAATCCAAAAAACCAAACTCACTGCTGTCAAATCAATTTCGACTCGTAACTACACTAGAAGACAGAGTAGAACTGCCCCCATAGGATTTCCAAGGCTGTAATCTTTATGGAAGCAGACTGCCACATCTTTCTTCCATGGAGAGGCTAGTGGCTTTGTACCATCAACCTTTTGGTTAGCAGCCAAGCATTTAACCACTGCACCACCAGGGCTCCTTATACAACCGTGAAATATGCCTCACACTATCAGCCCTTCTGGGTCATTTGTCTTACACACTCAGAGAATTTTTCTTTAATATAGATCCAAGTACATATTGTTCTGGAAAGTTTTCAATTGCAGCATATTCATCTCTAGCCAAAATTCAATCATTTTTCCAATGCCATGTTTTTCTGCACTTTATCTGGTTTGACGACAACTGGAGAACCAAGGCAGCTTTCTAAATTTCATTTTATTTATTTTTACAGATATGGATTACATGCTAGTTTATTTCTTCTGGGGATACCTCCTTTGAAGCCATTTCTCAGTGACATTTCTCAGGGGACAGTATCTCAGATAAAAGTTGATGTGAACAGACTAAGATGGAGACCACATCTTTATTTATGGAAATTGAACTGCTACTGAATTGCCCTGAAGTCTCTATTGAAAGTGCATTTGCTTCAAGAAGTCAAAGTGATATTATGTTCCATTTCCAAATGCTTTCCTCCCACTAGAGCATTATAAGCTCCAGGAAGGACTACATGCTACCTCTTCCACCCAAATGAGAAATCAACCAAAGTAAAAAGGGATCTATTAAACATTTCAAAGTACACATTTTACAGTTTACTTTGTTCAGATAAATAGCAACAGCCACTATGAGAACAAATCAAAATCTCAGTTCTCTCACTTAAATTCTCTTTAACTTGTTTTTTCAAGCTCAGTATAATATTACCCTTATAAAATGGAAGCAATTGGAAAGATGTTTTCAAAGGGATGGGTGATAACCGTGGAAATTACTTTGAATTAACTGCTACACTTGGAAAACACTAGAACAAAATCTCTTTAAGAAAAAAATCTGCAAAACCCCAGAGCATGCAAAGAATCCCTGGTATGGAACAATCTGATATGGTAAACGTGAAATCCTATAGGAGAATATAGAGGAGGAAAGATAGCACGGAAAAATACCTTTCCTCATGTCAGATTCTCATGCCCAAGCAAGGTGGGTGACCCACACCCCTACCTGTATTTTAACCTGTACTTTTAACGTACCAAATGTTTCTAAAAGTAGAAAAATACTCCATATAAGTCATCTCACCATCTCTTGCTAAGATCTGGCCATTAATCTGCTAATATCATCTGAGAAGCCAAGAAAGCAGAAAATATCTTTAATACCATGTATGAACCCAGCCTCCCTTACTTTATCTCACCCTAGGCCTCTTTCTGTTTTTTTTTTTTTTTTAATCTCTTGCCACCTGCCTGCCCTCTGCACAGAATATCTCCTCAATACCCATCAGTCTCCCCAAGCTCCCCTTCCCAAAAGATTCCTTTGCTACTTCAGACATCTTCTGACTCCTTGGTCATCTACCTCCTCCACCTATCCCAATGTAAAGTTCTCTCCTCAAAAGAAGCACATACTTTGCTTCCAAAGTCTATGAGTAAATATTTGGCATCCTAAAAACTTTCTAATATGTGCATGTACAAACTCCACGGGCCACAATATCACCTCTGTTGGGTGTGGGCTATGGAGAACCTTCACTAGGCAGCAATGCAGGCAGCACAAAATTTTTCTGAGCCTGAAGCAAAGTATTGTTGGAAAGGCAAGCAACCGTGGGAGAAATTCTTCAAAAGAAATAGCACCCAAAACTAATAGCAATCTGACAAGGGAGTATTCCCTGGAATAGCCAAGCACTATCAAACTACATCATCAATAATCTAAACAACGGACAGGCAAACACATCTGGTAGATTTGTGAACAGCACTCGAACAAAAAAGAGCGCATAATCCTTACAAAGTAAGATTATGATAGTAATCTTATAACTTGGAGACGTTGTCATAAATTGAAGGAAGACTAAGAGGAAAAAGTAGAAAATAGATTATCTAGAGAAGAAAAAGTAGCATTCTATAAATGTAGTTACAGTATTACAGAAAACGGGCCTAGAGATCTTGGTATGTATGTAGTACTATTAGAGGAGGTTTTTTTTTTTTTAATTTTATTGTTACTTTATTTCCTACTCTATCCTACCAGGTAATTCTAACTGTAATTAACTAGGAACTTCAGAGATATATTTCAGTGGGTACTGATACTTGAATGGGTCATAGCTGCAGAAACATCCAAACTTAATGAACAAGCACAAACTGATAAAGACCTACGAATAAGTTTAAAAAGTCTATGTTTTAAATCCAATCATTTTTCTTGTCCTACCCACAACCACCACCACTGACAATAACATAGCATCAAAGACATCCACACAAGACTGGAGGGGCAGACAGGAAGACTTGCTTAGAAGCTTATCTTCAAAATATTTCTAGACTTCTTCCAAGATTTTACCCTATATATTAATTGGAGCTTGTCATCATCTGGAAACAATGAAAACAGACACTCTCTGGCTATCCATGTGTGGTGCATCTGTTCTCATGGCTTGCGTTTGAAGTAATCTTACATCACAGCTCTGCTACAGGGCTGCAAGAGGGCTTTGTGGGTTGTGAAGATAACACTTATCCCAACAGACTCAGCACCTTCAAACTTTGCTTTTACCTTTGCCCGGGAAAGCCCGTCTACTCTCATAGAGGAATTGCGGCATATTAATATTCAGAAGGATGTTTACCTGTGTTTTATTGAATATGCAAAGCATTCCACTGTGTGGATCATAACAAATTATAGATAACATTGCAAAGAATGGGAATTTCAGAACACTTAATTGTGCTCATGAGGAACCTGTACTTAGAGCAAGAGGTAGTCGTTCCAACTGAACAAAGGGATAATGTGTGGTTTACAGTCAAGAAAGGTGTGTGTCAGGTCTGTGTCCTTTCACCATACTTATTCAATCTGTATGCTGAGCAAATAATCCAAAAAGCTGGACTATATGAAGAATGTGGCATCAGGATTGGAGGAAGACTCATTAACAACCTGTAATACACAGATGATACAACTTTGCTTACTGAAAGTGAAGACGACTTGAAGCACTTACTGATGAAGATCAAAGAACACAGTCTTCAGTATGGATTACACCTCAACCTAAAGAAAGCAAAAATCCTAACAACTAGACCAATAAGCAACATCATGCTAAATGGAGAAAAGATTGAAGTTGTAAAGGATTTCATTTTACTTGGGTCGAAAATGCCATGGGAGCAGCAGTCGAGAAATCAAACGAAGCATTGCATTGGGTAAAACTGCTGCAAAAGATCTCTTTAAAGTGTTAGAAAGCAAAGATGTCACTTTAAGGACTAAGGTGTGCCCAACCCAAGCCATGATGTTTTCAGTCGCTTCGTATGCATATAAAAGCTGGACAATGAATAAAGGAAGACTGAAGAAGAATTGATGCCTTTAAATTACAGTGTTAGCAAAGAATATTGAATATGCCATGCACTGCCAGAAGAACAAACAAATCTGTCTTGGAAGAAGCACAGCCAGAATGCTCATTAGAAGCAAGGATGGCAAGACTTCATCTCACATATTTTGGACATATCAGGCGGGAGAAGGACATCATGACTGGTAAGATGGAGGGTCAGTAAAAAAAAGAGGAAGACCCTCAATGAGATGGATTGACACAGCAGCTGCAACAATGGGCTCGAACATAACAACAATTGTGAGGATGGCACAGGACCAGGCAGTATTACATTCTGCTGTACATAGGGTTGCTATGAATCAGAAACAACTTGATGGCACCTAACAACAACTAACAACAATATTCTGAAAGCAAGTTAATTCATTTATTTAC